CGATAGCAGAAAGTAGCTATATATACCCTCTAGGTGATAGTTCTTGATTACTTTTTGATAAATAATTCGTTCTTATTGCGAAATAGGAGCACTATGTTTAAAAAAATGTTTAAGTTAGTTAAGTACATGTTTTATTGAAACTTCTCAACTGCCACTGTTGAACGTTCATCAGGCCGCAGGGATGGTAGATCAGATTCCAGGCAACCGATATTTCCAGTTCAAGCTAAATTGTGATTCATCATTTTCAAATTGAACCCGATCAGTTTTTCCACGTTTCAGGCCGATGAAGATGCACTCCACCTCAAACGTCTACACCGGCTTAGAGCCCGAAAAACCAGTTTCAGTCAATAATAATTTCGTATGGAAGTCGATATCGATGGTGTGAACACAATGCAGTTTTTTAAACAACAAAAATATCATTTTTCAATGAATCCAATCCGTTCTGCACGCGTCTATTGAACTCCGGTCAGAACAACATCAGAATTGAAAGAGAAGCTGGCTTTTCACATTTCTGCAAATTTAAAACTGTTTTCAACTTCCTCGATGCCACTTTAGAAGTTGGCTCACCATGTAGGGACACGAATTATTACAAAACTTTGACACGGATGTGAGCTTTTGAGCGAAATACCTCTGAAAAAGCCTGAAATTTCAAGGAGAGTTTTTCTCCGAAACACTATTTTTGTATTATGCGTCATGTTTGTGTCTAAATCTACAGGGTGGCCCCATGAGCACATGATCAAAAGGGCACTGCGATATTCAATGGATCAAAAGCAGACGATATGGCCTGACTTTTACCAAGAAAAATGTATGGCTTCTCTGAAAAGATTAAACCAAGTTTTCTGTAGTATCGGAAAAGTGTTCAGCTTGAGTTGCTAAAGACAACTGTTTAGCACTGTATGGTGGGTAGAAGTCGGGTTTTAGTCCAATTGAAACAAGCTGAGGAATTTCGTTTGGTTGACTTTTGCAGCAAAGTTCAGGCTTCTCCGAACGAATACGATCTGGCTGGCCCACATCGTATAGCGGAAAATTTGGATAGCAAACTTTAATAGGTCAACATGTACTTCAATAACGTTTAAGTTAGACGATATGGCCTGASWTTTACTAAGAAAAATGTATGGCTTCTCTGAAAAGCTTAAACTAAGTTTTCTGTAGTATCGGGAAAGTGTTCAGCTTGAGTTGCTAAAAACTCGCTTWCTCTTGGYSAGCTAAAAGTTATAAAACTCTTCACAATTRATCWAYGAGAAAATAACATTATTGCTTMGRASTTTGMAGTTAAYGCCTAAAATTGTCAGTTGGCAACAARACRAMCACTTTTTGSGCTAAATCTATGAAAGCTCCATGATTTRACMAAGRGCCCAAACATGCTCGAAATGGATTAGTGCATTCTACCGATATTTAAAGAGCCCTAATTTTCTTGAAGAACTKTKACCGTCAATAGCCAAAGAGCCATACATTTTCTCTGAATAAGAGTTAGGCCATATCGTCTTTTTTGMCCCAAAGRATATCCCTGTACCCTTGTGATCATGTGCTAYGGGACACCCTCCTGTCTGTTGTTTCCATTTTATTTATGTTTTTTAAATATTGTATATGTTTTTCTATTTCATAAGTGTACATAATAGTAGTAGAAAATGTACAGATCAACTGGTTGATTTGCTGCAAGAAAATATCAACATTATTAAGTCAGCGCCACCAGGGTTTGGTGTCTGAGCCGCAGATTGCTGGTAAAACACTGCAGATCCTCAAAACTTCTAAATATTTGAAATAAAATCGACGAGTTCCAGACTGTTGCAACTAGCGGCAAAATTAATATAAATTTAATAAAACTATGTTCTTGAACGGGCGGAGCTTTTCGTTTCTGTTAAAACTTTGAGAAAATGTGAGCAAAACATTGAAATACACTTCTGGCTTCTTGTAGATGATCTCCAACCAACGATATGGCTAAAAATATCAGCGGCCACCCTTCCTTATTTCTGCATTAAATTTTTATATTATCTGTAGAGGAACAGGCCCCCAAATGAACCATTTGGCCTGCGGTTGGCGCGCCTACTCGAAACATCGTTTATAATGGGTTAAAGTCATATGGGCAAATTTTAAAAATGCGAATCCCTTTGAAAGATAATGGCTAATGGCGCCGGCACCATAATTAAGCTATTAGACCCTTGTCACTCGAGATGATGCTGAAAAAATGCGACACTTAACAGATCCCTACCAAAAGGGTTGGATTCA